CTTGTGATTTGCCTGCCCCTCAACCTCCCAAAGTGCTGGGATTACAGGCATGAGCCACCACGCCTGGCCTCTGACATCATCTTTACCTACTACTCTTGCTCACTCTATTCCAGTCATACTGGCCACCTTGGTGTTTCTTAGGGACACTGGGTATACTCTCAGGACCTCTACATTTACTGTTCCCTCCACCTGGAACACTCTAGCTCCAGAAGGCTCACTCCCTTATCTCTTTCTGGCCTTTGCTCATATTTTCTCAGTGAATCTGAACTTGACTGTCCTATTTAGAATAGCAACCCTTTCTCCTGTCCCAATCTAGTATTTCTTATTTCTCTACACTATTTTATTTTTGTCTTCAGCACTTATCACCCATCTCACACACAATATTCCTACTTATCTATTTGTCATTTCTTTCCGCTAGTATTCTCAAAATACTGTTTCGAGAGCAAAGACACATATGTTTTACTTATTGTTATATTCCCACACCCAGGAGAGTGTCTGGCATGTAGAAATAACTCAGTACATATTATTGAAGGAGTAAAGACTAAGTTTTTTTTTTTTTTTGAGACGGAGTTTCGCTCTTGTTACCCAGGCTGGAGTGCAATGGCGCGATCTCGGCTCACCGCAACCTCCGCCTCCTGGGCTCAGGCAATTCTCCTGCCTCAGCCTCCTGAGTAGCTGGGATTACAGGCATGCACCACCATGCCCAGCTAATTTTTTGTATTTTTAGTAGAGACGGGGTTTCACCATGTTGACCAGGATGGTCTCGATCTCTTGACCTTGTGATCCACCCACCTCGGCCTCCCAAAGTGCTGAGATTACAGGCTTGAGCTACTGCGCCCGGCCCCTAAGACTAAGTTTTAAATAACTTTTTTTTTGAGAAATTCTGCTATAAAAAGAGAGCACAGATATGGAGTGCAGGGAGGATGAGGTAAGGTTTAATTTTAAGATGTGTAATATTACAGAATGCTTATATGTTAACAGAAATGATCCACTAGAGAGAAAAAATGTGATAATACAGGAGAAAAAGGAATATCTATATGAATCATATCATTAAGTAGGACATAAGAGATGACATAACTCAAAGAACTTTGTTTAGAGGGGAGAAAAGACAGTTTATCTATAGAAACAGGAGAAAAGACGAAGAATATGGCTACACATGCAAGTGGGTGGGATCATGTAAAATTTCTGATTGCTTATTTCCTCCTCAGCCAATTTCCTTTCTGCAATACTTAATATGAAAAAAGAGGCACTGGAGACTTGAGACACAAGAAGGTATGAAACGATCCTCCAGAGAGTGGAAGAGTGAATTAATTAAAGGAAGGTAGCAGGATTGCCAGACTCACTTACATTTAGTTGTCATGAATTTCAAATGAGACCACTCAGCATGGTAGTGTGTTTGCTCCAGCATCTTCAGATACATATGCAGGAAGGAGTAGAGTGAGATTTCAGCAGGGTTAGTACTTTGCCAGGCAAATGTGAAGCAGTAGAGATGACTAAGACTGTTGATGGTGTATATAATACCGGAATTATAATGATGGACCATGAGGTCTAGGCTGGGTAAGATGGGATGTGAGGGCAAGGGGTGAGAGTAGGATGGGAATAGTCAGAAACATTGCAAAGGTGATAAAGTAAATGAATTGGCCATTCCAGTGAAGAATTTTTGATTGGGGGAATAAATCATAAGATAGGAGCCGTTAGTCAGAGAGGACATTTGAAAATTGGATTATGGAAGGATGCAGTTATTGGCAATAACAAAGTAAAGGGCCTGGAGTAGTTGGCTGAGATAAAGTGGAGGGCAAGCTTGCTGGAGAAGAGGTCAAGAATTTAGAGACCAGGATATTGGAAGAACCAACTATGTGAATACTGAGAATACCAAGAATTTTAAAAGTATACTGTTAAAAAGAAAACAATGGGAAGATGCTAACATTTTTTTTTTTTGAACTGATAGTGGCACCTTTCATTATCTCTGGTGATAGAATGGAGGAGGTGTTACTTCCCATTCTATTGATAATTACAACAAAAAGGAGTAGCAGGTGATATAGCTATGTTGGCACAACCTTCAAAGGAACCAGGGGATTTTATGGAGAAGGCATGGGAAATGATCTGGAATTGGTAATGAGGTACAAGGAAGATAACTTCCCCATTTCAAGGCTCAGTGATAAGAAAGATGCCTGCGGCAGAAACATGAATCAGAAGACAGGTTTTGGTTGGAGCAAGAAAGTGAAGGAAATATTCTGAGAAGAGGTTAAGAATACAGCTGAGACTCCATCAGCAAAAATGTCCTTCATTAGTTCCTATGCCTGAATACCCATAAGTTTCCCTTTTTATAATATGTTAAAATAAGACAATACCATTTCTAGGAGTTGTATTAGTTTCTTGGGTTTCTATAACAAAGCCCAAAAACATTAAAAAAAAAAACCAGAAATCTATTGTCTCACAGTTCTAGAAGCCATAAGTCTGAAATCAACCAGAGCCATGCTCCCTAAGAAATCTATAGGAGAGAATCCTTCATCTCCTTTAAAGTCTGACGTTTGCCAGCAATCCTTGGTGTTTCTTGGCTTGTGGACATTCTCTAATCTCTGCCTCCATCATCACACAGAGTTTTACCTGTGTGTCTCTGCCTTCTATTCTTATTCTTATAAGGGTACCAATCATATAGGATTCAGGGCCCACCCTATTCCAGCATGTTCTTGTCTTAACTAATTACTTTTGCAATTACTTTATTTCCAAACAAGACCACATTCCGATGTACTTGGAGTCAAAACCTCAACATAGTTTTTTTGGGGAAACAATTAAACTCACAACAGGGGCATTGAGAAAAACAGTGTACACCTTTTATGGAATGTGTTAATATATATACATTTTTAATAGATGAGATCTCCATATGTTGCCCAAGCTGGTCTTGAACTCCTGCGGTCAAGTTATCCTCATACCTCTGCTATCAAAGTACTGGGATTATAGGTGTGAGCGAACACATCTGGCCTTTGTTCACGTTTTAAGTCATTCAGGATCTTGTCTTACTCAGTAAATGAGGCCTGGTAACCCAAATGCTTAAGAAATGTCAATTTTTTATAAAACACATGACAACCTAAACAGAGAAAAAGTGTTATATGCTATGCATGTGATGTAAAGTCACAATACCGTAAGTATCTAATGATGTGGGTGATAATGCCACTGACCCTACAAGGATGGCCCTGTTGACTCAGAAGGGAAGCATTAAACTTTTACATTGAGAGTCTTGGCCATCTTCTACCATTCTTGTAGCTCTATAATTTTAGAACGTTAAACCAACTAAGACTCATGAGCCTATGGATCTGTGAGTAGGGGAAAGCTTGTCAAAAGGTGATGCCATAATTTTTATCAGCATATTACGGCACAGATATGGAAAGGAGGGGAAGAAAAGTACTCATTTGGTTCTTTAATCACAAGTTGAAAAAGGGTCCCAAAGATTCCAGCCTCTGAGATACTCCAAAGTATTACACTCGAGGCCTGAGCTCCTAGCTATGGCTATAACATCTCCCCTGCTTGTCTTAAATGAGTTCGATGAATAAGAGATGTCACTCTTCCACAATGGAGAAAACCCAGGCGATGCAGCCGTTTACTGTGCACTTACTAGATGTTGCGCTCTATACTAGTCCCTTGATCTACTGCAAGTGGGGACCTCAGACAGGCCTGCATCCTGTGCCCACTGAGGGCTGCATCTGGGAAACTGTCCTGTGATCCCGGGTCTTGGAAATAAACTAACGGATGTTTCTAGTTTCTCACATCTAGTAGCAGGCAGGTACATAACAAATCTTTTCTTCCAAATTAACGCAAATATTCTCTTTGGTTTCAATTTGACTCACTGCAAATTCTGCAGTGGTGGAGTCCATATTAATGAAGTTTGTTACGCTGAGGAAAGTGATCTGATTATTTGACCCTTCTTACCTTGTCGGAATGGAGCCAGCATTTCAAAAGGGAGGGTAAGGCTGAGGTTTATTACTCGAAGGTAATGTCTTTCATGAAAGATGCGGAATCCAACTGCTTAGTAGTATATCTATCCCTCTCTATTTCCTACACAGCTGGTAAGAAATGAAGTCCCTCATTCTATTACTCTAATTGAATTCCAACTTGGGTAATTATACTATAATTAAATAAATTTTCCCCATAGTTTTAATTCACTGATAAATGGTGCTAGTCAAACAGCTACAGTACATTCCCAGAAACACATCCCCACTACATTTCAGTGATAAGCAAAGTGATTTATATTTGGAATATGTATGTATAAAAAGATGCACAGTTCATAAAATAGTTTAGGTATCATTCATGATTACATATGCTTTGCTCAGCATGAGATAACATTAATTTCTATTACAATCTTTCATCTGATTTCTCATATGCTTAGTGCCAAAAGAAATAAGACAGCTAATTAGCATTTCTTGTTTTCAGAGCAGTTTTTGTTTAGTTATCTAGGAGCCTGAATTGATTTGTATTTTTAATTTTTAAACACCTTTCATTATCTCTGAGTGATAGAATGGAGGAGGTGTTACTTCCCACTCTACAGATGAAAAAAATTGAGGCAGGCTTCCCAAGGTGAGGAAGCTAGTTAGCTCCAGTACCAGCCTTGGAACCCAAGCTTCCTCTGATCCCCTGGCCCTAGGGCTCTTTCTGTTAAACACTATCTATCAAACACTGGGTCACTATCAATCACTTTAGTGTTACTAATGAGAAAATAAAGAGTAGCATAGTTGTAATCTGTGTTATGGGGTCATTAATTTGTCATAGAATGATTTAGCCAGGAGCTGGAGGCCTAATGACTAGGTCCTGATGCTGTTCTTGGATCATGAAATTATGAAGCTTCTTTGTGTCTGAATATTATTATACAGTACAGATGAACTGGAATAACAATTCAAAATATGGTGCAAAATAATTCAAATTTCATTTTTGTTCTAATGACCTTTCTTAAAGGGTTGTAGCTAGCTTTTAATAAAAGATATTAAAGACAACATCAAAATACTCACAAAAAGCAGCAGTAGCAGGGGTGTTATAACGATGCCCTAAAAGAAATAAAGAGAGGATGATTATTTATCAGAGAAAGCAGGACACTTTCTTTGCCACTGTAAACTCTGAAGCATGGGAGTGCTTATCTTCTCTTTAATAAAATCTAGGAGATAAACAGCAGAGAGTCCTAATCTTAGCTTTCCCTTCCATAATGCCTTAACATCTCTATTACAATTATTTGTATTTGGCATCATAAAAGTACAACCATGAATCTGCCGTAGGTTCATCTTTCCTTTTGTAAACCTAAATTCCCTTCCACACTGCACATGGATCACACAGATAGAAGCTGGTGCCTGGCAAGCTTCCCTACTCCAAGGCTTTCAACTCTAACTTGGATAAAATGCCCCTTTTTGAGAGAAGACAGGTGGTTTAGTCCCAGTTGGGGTCCTCTCCTGAGCAAAGACCACGTCAGTTGTGATGAATGAGATGTCATGATTTTGTAATGCGAACTGATCTCCCCTAGGAAATGAGCTGGGATCTCAAAACTCATTTCACTTGATTAGACTCCATGTCTCCATGGTGGAAGGCAAGTCTTTCATCTAATTCAGCCACATAGGACCACCTCGGTCCCTCTGCCTCCCCTAGGCAGAAATGAGCAAAAGATTTGTTTTCTTCGATGACAGGGAACAGTTTGAGGCTGTTGCCAATGAGGCAGAATACCAGCTTTTAGGTTTCTTGAAGGCAAATCTTTAAAACTAAGTGTTTGAGTTGGGAGTTGAAATGACAGGCTTCAGTTCTGGAGCAGCACATGACTACTGGCCCTTCTTAGTTTTTCCTTTCTCTCTCAACACTTCATTATGATTTATACAAGAAAAAGCATTTTAGATTTTTATTAATGAATTCTACTTGGAATTTTAAAATTTCATAGAATCTGAGGGTGTGTGCCTAAGAGAGAAAAGAGACAGAGAAAGAGAGATAGACAGACAGACAAATACACACACACACAGAGAGAGAGAGAGAGAGAGAGAGAGAGAGAGAGAGAGAGAGAGACAGAGGTGCTATACCCAGACAGTGCCCAGGATCCAGATTTGGGACTACTTCATTACTTTTGGAAGAAAAAAAGTCCTTTTGGTATTTACATGAAAGTCCCTTTGTCATAACAGTCACTCAATTGTTTTGCATGTGGCCCAAGAGGGATGGGCTTATCTTAAATGAACAATGCTACCATGACTTTCTTGGGCATATACACATATGAACATCCACAAACAGACTTGTTTTATTGTTAAATAATAGAATGAATCCTTTTTCATTGTGCATACTTTTGCAGTTGGCAAAAGAGAATACAGTATTTTAATCTAAGAATCACTTTACATCCTACTTATTAAAATAGGTATTGTGGCCTATCAACTCCATTTATCTGTGAAACAGGCTCTCAACACATTTAGGAGAGCTAAATGTGCTAAATGCCAAATTAATTGATAACTTAGAAGGGCTACTCTCCTTAAGTGACTTGCAGTAACTTCAGACTTTAGGAGGAATTCCAAACTTTACAGGGCCACATGAAAATGAAAATATCTGGCTGACTCAGTCTATATGGGAGCCATCCAATTTCAAGTACATTTGTTTAAACATATAATTGAACATATACTTATATACTGGGTACTGTGCTCATCCAAGAGATTCAAGAGTGAGTACAACATGGTCCCTTTGCTTAAACAGCTTATAATCCAGGAGAGGACAATTATGTATAAACAAGGTTCAAAACAGAGTGATATAACTGCTGCCACCGGCGCTGCCACCACTACCTGTATGCATTGTTCAGGGACCTGAAGATTCATACCCCCCACACCTGTGCCACCACAGCTAGCGCCCATGTGCACCATTGCAGGGCCTGAGAATAGGCCCACTCTGCCTGCACTGGCACATGTGCACATCATCTGAGGGTCTGGAGATTGACATGTGCTACCACTGGCATCTGCAGGCACCAGATGCAGACCAGAGGACAGGTCAGCCCCATCTGCCACCAGTGCACTGGCACCTCTGCACATCATATGGGGGCCTGGGGATTGACCCGCCCTGCTCGCTACCACCAGCACCTGTGCACACCTTTGGGAGGCCTCAAGAGAAGCCCACCCCATCTGTTGTCTCTGTTACCAGCACCAACATACACCCTTGAGGGGACTAAGACTAGGCCTGGTTTACCTGCAGTTGGCACCTGCACATGTCATCTGAGGGCCTGGGGATTAATCCATCCCTCCTACGTGTACCATGTGGGGGCCTGAGGATGGGCCTCCCTGTGTACCACTACTGTGCATATTATCTGGGGACCTTGGGATTGACCCACCCTTCTTTGTCACCACTGGTGCTCGTGTGGACTTATTGGGGTGCCTGAGCAGAGACCTGTCTCACCTGCCACAGCAGCCACCAGTGCCTGTGCACAACATTCTGGGACCTGGGAATTAATCTGCCCCATCTACTGCTGCTGACACCTGTTTGCATCATTGCTGGGCCTTAGGAGAGGCTGACCCTCTTTTACCGCTGCTTCTGCTAGCACCAATGCACAGTGTCAGGACCCACTCTGCCTACTACCATCAGCACCTATGCAAACCATCCAGGGCCTAGGGACAGGTCCGCACTGCATTCCACCACCACCACCACTGGGTTCCATGAACTGGACTGTCTGGAGTCCCTATCCCCAACAATGCCTCACCACAGCCTCCACTAACAACCGCAACAGATACCACTGAGCTGATTACAGCTGAAGAAATACAGAGATTACATTACTGTGCCCATCAAGAATCAAAGCCAAGGCAACCTACCCATCCAAAACTATAGACATATCTATAGGAAAAGTCTTTCCCTACTAAAGCCAATCCATAAAATCGGAAGAAGTAACTGTTATGCCAGATGTACAGTAAGGACAAAAAAAATATGAAAAAGCAAGAAAACATGACACCTCCAAAGGAACACAATAATTCTCTGGTAACGGAGCCAAAGGAAAAGGAAATTTATGAAACGCCTGAAAAAGAATTCGGCATAATAATATTAAAGAAAATCAGTGAGATAGAAGAATGTTGTTATCCACGGGTTTTTCTGCTTGAATACTTCTAATGGATAGTCACTGACACATGATAGTTTCTTTGCAGCTCTTCCAAGGACTTACAGTATTTGTTTCTAAAATGGTAAAAGTTTTTCTAGCAAATAGGAAGTATTTGCTAATTCTGGATTTAATATTCCTTCTTATTTTCTTAAGAATAGCTGTTCAAGTTCATTAAGACTGAATCACTTTATAATGCTGAAATCTTTTTTTCAATTGTATTAGGAAGTGAGTCAGCCAGGAGGCATTCACTTTGAGAAGAGTACCATAATTTTTAATAAAGTCATCACAATTATTAAAATAATAAAAACTAACATTTATGTAGTACTTATGTTGGATACTATAACAAGGATTTTATGTATGTTATTTCATGTAATCCTCACAACAATTCTCTGATGTAGGTACTATTATTATATTATCTCCATCTACTAGATAAGAAAGCTGAGCCTCAGAGAGGCTGGGTGAAGTAGGAAGAAGCAATGCCAGGAATTGGACCTCTCCTTGTTTCAGGGTCTGTGCTCTTGAATGGTGTAAATAAAATCTTTGCGATCTTAAGCTATTTCCTCAGTGGTGTGTTTTAAGAGTAAATCTAAGCGCAACATCGGACTCAGTATGTCTTTTTGATGACATAAAACAAATTGAGAAGTAAGTCTTCATGTCATGGCAGATGCATTTTTTTAGAGTCAAGTTTTTGCAAATATCAGTGGTAAAAAGTGTGAGCTAAACATTTAAACTGTGTCAGCAACAATCATTGCAAGCAAGAAAATCAACTCAACATGTTATTTTCTTTTGAGTATTTACAGCTCAATGTAATTATTTCTCTTTCCTAGGTAAATTCTCCTGAAAATGCGTAAAACCAAAGGAGATAAGCACTTCTAGCAAAAGATGTTACCCCCTCCTTGCAGATTCAAGGTCAAGACATAGTTTTAGCATCCTTGCAATTGGGATGGTGTATAACACTTTCCAATTGCAACACCTGAAGAAGTGAAGTCACAAATTGACTGGCTTCCATCGTCTACTGAAAAAACTTTCAGAAAATCCATTTACACCTCAGATATGAATGACTTGGTGAATGTATTTCAATGAATTTAGTGGAAAGGAAAAAAGTGTCAAATCTCAGATACAGATTTAGTTGCATCAAAATACAAACAAAAAACTCCAGATAACAAAACAACAAAACTGTGAATGTGCTTCTCTCAGCAACAGGACTTGCAGAAAAAGGCAAAACTAAAGTGAAATTATGAAATTTTTGAAATAGAAGATGTTATCAAGAGGTGTTGTTGCAACAACTACAAAGATCACACAGATACTAAACTTGACTTTTTAGATTTGTCTCCAGGACACTGCATTAACTCAGTTTTCACAGAATAAAAAATATGAGTTTTGAAATGGATCTTAGAGATACCCTGATCTAGTCCTTATCTAAAGTGTGAACCCCTCTCTCCATCTCCCTCACATCCTTATATAATGCTAAAACCTACTTTTCAGTTGTATTAGGAAATGAGTCAGCCATGATGCGTTCATTCTGACAAGAGCACCACAATTAAGCTTTGAGAAAGTGATCACAATTATTATTAAAATAATAAAAGCTAAGATTTATGCAACACTTATCTTGGATACTGTATTAAGGACTTTGTGTTATTTTATGTAATCCTTACAACTCTGTGAAGTAGGAGAGCATTATATAAGGATGGAAACTGTGATGGCTGTGCCTTTGCCAGAGAATCTCCCAGTGAGAAGACACCCTTGCTCTGTGGGCAAACAATGGCCTAGTTGAAGGTTTCGCATGAGGAGAAAGCTCTTTCTTATACAGATCCCAAATCACTACCACTGCTGCTCTGTCTTCCCCTTGAAGCAATTTAGGGCAAGCCTCACCCTCCTTCCTGGTGACGGCCTTTTAAATGATGCTTCTGAGTGGTGTAAATAAAAATCTATGTGTTCTTCAGCTATTTCCTCAGG